CCTCCACTGAAGCTTGCACTACACTAGCTTGTTCAATTATCTTATGGCCATATCTTTAATTTTAGTTAAAGTTATCATACAGTGCAGACCTTGAGTGATCTATGTTGTAGTGCTTATACAGCATCCACTGAACACTTGGAAAGCATTTATTTAATATTAATCATGCCAGTCTCCCTGGGTAGAGAAATATGAGTTTTATCTATAAAAGATTTGTGCCATAGGTATTTCTCTTTAAAAGGAAAACTGTATTTGAAATGCTTATATGCCCAACTCAGTTACAAAAATAACCCATCCAACAATATTTTTTTCTACAGTTGTCAACTAATAAAGCTTTTTTTATATGGATAATGTTTTATTGAACTTGATTTATGTGAAAAAGATTGTGAAATACTTGAAATTATAAGGCAGAGCTCTTCATTTTGACAAGAGAATTTCATATGAATTTGCTCTGTGTAACACTATTTATCACAAAAAATTAGAGACAAAGCATCTCAAAAGCCTTACAAACTCAGGTTGGGCGTAAGAGAATATCTTCAGTTCACTATGATCATTGTTGCTCTCAAATGAAAGCAAGTACTGAAGGAAACCACAAAACAACTTTTAAAAATGACTTGCCTGTCATAGTGATAAAAAAGATTACAAAAAGGTTGTACCATGTGTGAAAAAAATAAACAATTTATCTTTTGCACAATGCCATCTCATCAAATGAATAAAGTAATTTGATTTAGAAAAGTGTTCTGATTGATTTGCAGTTACCAATCTTATGTGATCATATGCAATGCATTGGGAAGCAGTTGATTAATGCTACCATTAAGATAACTTAATGTTTAATGTTAATGTTTAATCTCCAGAGATATTGTTAGAATAGGAATTTTAGATCCTGATACCTCAGTGTCTGATATATATAAGAAACACATTCATTCAGAGACATCTTATCTCTCACCAGGTTTTTTAAAAACAGATTACACAGCAAAAGAATTTGCTTGGCGCTGCATCCTTCTTTCCTATGATACTTAATAAAAATAAGGGGAAATCCTGCTTGATGCCAAGTTTTATGCCACTGAATGACAAGTGTCTTTGATGGTCTTTCAGCAAAATTTGGCAGTGAGAGGCCATCCCTAGCAGCTAGATGGCATTCTGCCCTTTCTGGAAATTAATGACAATGAAGTGTTTAGCTAGAATTCAAGCAGTGACATTAATGAGCACTACGTGAAAGCTGCAGGTTAACAATTGTGCCTATCAGTTTCTAAGCACTCAGTACCAGGCTACATAAATGGATGTCATGTTCACATGTTTAAAACTGGGCTCAGTTTTAAATCTTTCTTGGGTTTCTCCATTTTGTCCAGACCAGTATTGGGGAATACAGTTCAATTTAAAAAATCTTGCTTGACAGATTTTTTAAGACTGATTTGTAGAGGTAAACCTTTTCTTTGTGTGAAGGGAGGTTGTTACACAGATTGACTTGACTGTTCATTAAAATCTAGATAATGGCCTTAACCTGTGAAAGCCAGAGTCTAGATCATAATGGATAAATATCTTGATTTTACAGTGCAACAACCTCCTTTCATGGAAAGAAGAGGTTTTCATCCACGAAATTGTCTTAGGTAAAGCTGCAAATAGATAGAAATGCTGTAAGAGACTTCTGAGGATCTGTGCTTAACTGTTGCTACAGTTCCTCATATGTGCTAAAAACAATGCAAACTCAAACTGAATTTTGCTAACCGTTGAAATCTTGCCACACCTAACCCTTTGTCAGTTATTGTAGAGAGGCACTTGCCCTCTACCATAAGCCATGGCTCCTTTTATACAACTGATTCTCAGGGTACAAACCTTTAGATTTTCCAAAAGGAACTTTTGTAACAGTTGCAGTAGCCTGAGAAAGCTGGAAGAATAGATAATTTGGAAAGAGGTAAACAAGAGGTTGTGGACTATATTCATAAAATGAGGTCTTGGGTATGCTTCCCATCTCTGACATAAACTATGGGCCCCAGAAAGTTTCATTCCAGCATGTCTAGCCTCACAGTGATGTGGGAGAAAGTATGGAATCAATAGCTAAAAATGGACCACCAGTGATGCCATGCCTAATTTAAAAATAACAAAAATTAAAAAAAAATTAAAAAATAAAAAAATATATTATTATTATTAATAATAATAATAATAAAAAGACTGTGGATTTCACCAGAGAATGTATCAGCAAGATTGGAGGAGGCACACAAATTATCAGGAGAATGAGGGATGAGCTCAAGACTGGTGAAGGCATACAGGCTGGGAGTGAAGAATATTACCCATCTTTCTGTTAATACTGTGCCAATGGGTAGCAAACAATCATAAATGCAGGGAATCAAGAAGAGGATAATATTCCCTAGAGGTAAGGACACTTGGTTAGGTGGTGTTGACAGCCTTTCTACAAAACTTCAAGACTGATTAAATACTTTTAATCACATGAAGTACACAGATCACCTTTAGAGCAGAAAGAGACATACCTTAGGGCTACGAAGTCACTTTACCTTACTTGTTCCCTGATCTGATGAATCTAGGATCCTCTCCTACAGAGTGGCAAAGCTTGTATAGGAAAGGCTGAAGTTATGTGAATCTCCTTTCCCACCCTCTTTTCACACCCAGACAGCTGCTTTGTTTATATTTCACATCTTATCTAGGAAAGAGTCCAGGAAGGAAGACTCAGAGGAATGATCTCTTTTACTTGATGTCAGAATTTGCAGGAAATCTCTGCTTGTGCAGGAAAAATCTCATCTTTGCATTACCAAGTATGCTTTGAAAATAGGGTCAGAGTCCACAGACACTGAGGGAAAATGTATTTCCATAAGGATTCAGAAGTCATTATAGGTAGAAATATGGTTCCAGGTCTCATGTTTATCTTACTTAATTTTCTGTGCTCACAGTGAATATAGCTAGAGCTGAGCTAGCTTCCATTTCTACCTAGGAAAGAGGAATGCAAGGTATGTCTACTGTAACTTATATGACTACGCTCAGATGAGATCAATTATGCCTAAGAATAATTCTTTATTGCTTTTCCATTTATTAAAAAAAAAAAAAAAAAAAAAAAAAAGAAAGAGGAAGAAGAAGAAGCATGAAATAACCAGCAAAACCTGCATAATCTTCGATACATTTCTGTTTAGGCAGCTGAATCTCACTTGTCTCCTAGACTCTTTAAAATCTTATTATAAAGTAAGAATGATTTCAAGGTTGTTCAGAGGAAGTTTTTCACGATCAGAATTTGGCAACTAAATGCCAAAAGCTTATTTTATCCCTTGCTTACTTGTTCGTAGGTTTACTTCTACTTGATTGTTCATTCGATTTTTCATCTGATTTTCAGTTCTTTTTAGTCTCCACCATGCTATGCAAATCAGTGAAGAAAGATCCTAATGAAATTATTTAAAAGAAGTGTCATCATTATACAGGTCAAGCAATTTGTTTTTAAGGTCATATTAATCATTTTGTGTGCCAGCATTTTAATTATTGTACAAGGATGAGATATTTTTAATTACAATAGAGTTTTGCCAACAGTAAGTTAAGATCTTTTCCAATTTATATTTTCTTACATTTTCTGTTAACATCAATTATAATTTTGTTGAATGGGCTGGACTTGAAGAATACTGCTGAAGTTCTGGAAAAAGTCATGACATTTAATATGCAGCAGTCAATCTCTAATATAGTGTGTGCATATCTGTGGTGTTAAAAGAGCTCACACTTTTACCTTCTGTACTTCCATCTAGTATCTTCAGAAATACTTACTTGCCAAGCAAATAAATAAAGTGCTTGAATTATGCATGTAAAATTATTTTAGGTCTCCATCTGCTAAGTATTTTTTCCAATTTGTTTCTAAAGTTACAAATGTTTAGCCTGAATTATATTGGATATAAAACTAGTTACAATGCCTTAATGGATAAAATTTCTTAATAATCTGTATTATCACAAGACTGAGTACATATTCAGTATGATTATGACAGAAAGTTTCTAGTTGAGCAAGATATTTGAAGATATGCTTCCAGTTTTACTCTTTACCATTCCACTGTACTCAAAAGCTTTGCTGAGTGAGATTCTTCACTAAGAGAAGATGCACACACTGATTTGTGCGTAACTTTTCATTCCTGACTGTCTTGATATCTTTAATTTACTTCAAAATTCACAAGCTGTATATGGTTTAAGTGGTAGGTGTTTCCAGCCTTTCCCTTTCCATAGTTTCAGGTTTTGTCTGCATGGTATTTAAATCTAGCCTCCAGTCTTTCTCTTTGTTGGAAATATAATAAAATCTAATATTTTTTACTGAGTTCAACAGCCAATTCCTTCTGTTACTAGGATACTATTTACCATAACGATCATGATGTAGAATGTACTGGCTAAAAATAAAAAATAACAGAAAAATGAAAGGTTTTCATAAAGGATAAATCCAATGGCACTGAAGGTCAAATACTATCCAGCTATAAAATAAACTTTTTTGCATGGGTCACAAGAAGTACCACTGAAGCTGTTAAATTCCACTGTTAAAAATTGAGGGAAACAAATATTTAAATGAGAGCTGAAAAGCATTTTTCATGCAGAGTTTGAAACTAGTTTGAAAGAACATTAGCTACTTTCACATTGGCTTATGGCTCCATAGAAATAAAATACCGCTGGCAGGACAGGAAATAAGCTAAATGATAGAGAAACTGATGCAGAAATCAGATACATAAATTAGATAAGTAACCAGAAAGAGACAAAAAAAACATATGCCAGCTCTTCCAACCTTCATAAGCAGAAGAGTGAGAAAAACATGAAATTAAAAATTCTAAAGCAGAATAAGAAAGTGTTTACAATTATAGCTGTGTGTTGTGAGGTAGAGAAAAATATTTCGCTTTGAAATAAATAGAGAAAGATAGCTGCCTATAGTCTTAAACTTGGATAGGAAATGATCTGTAAAATTTAGAGATCTATGAGATATCTATAAACAACTACTTCTCATGTATATCTTTAGTTCAGATTTTTTTAATTTTTTTTTTCAGGTTGCTAGTGGAAGGTCATTCTTGTGTTAATTCTAAGCAACAAGGTTAAACAAATAGATTCCCCCACACTCAGATGTGCTGAAACAGAAGATCTCAGGGGTAGTTTCAGAAAAATTCAGAGTCTTGAAGTCCCACTGGATTCTGGGACAAAGGACAACTTCCATGGTCATCAAGAACTTCTGTGATAAGTCTTCGACCATTCCTTAAATAAAATGAAAGAAATGTTTAAATTTGATTTCATCAAACTATGGTGGTCAGTGTTTTAATAGGCTAATAGTATTATAATAGACAAAATACATTTGGGGGCAGATACATCTTAATTTAATAGAGTTGATGATTGAGATGAAGAAAGTACTCATTACTTCACCTACATGAACAATATTTTATGTTTGGATCAGTGGCTATTTGAATTTTCTTCTATATTTATCTGAATGGAAGACATTAACAGTAACAGATTCAGATTTTATGAACTCACTGCTCTGATCTAGGACTGAAAATACAATATATGCATCTTTTTGTAATTTTGTTTAAAAAAACATCTGTGCTTAGGGACACAGACTTTTGTCTTGATATGAATATCTGAGTCACTAAGTCCATTTTCTGATTTATCCCCCCCTCTTTAACCTTGCTCTTTGTTTACTTTCATTCCAATGCAACATCATGACCCTAAGCACCTTTGAAAAATGTAATTTTGTAAAATTCTGAACACTACTAAAAAGGAACTTCTGAATAGAATAGCAAATAATTTTGCTTAGCAACATAAATTAACCATTGTTTGGTTCTGTGCGATAAAAGTTGAATAGTAAAACAGTAGTCAGGTTAGCTCACTAAAAAAATCTAATTCTGTTATTCCTCAATTATGCTGATATCTAAGTACAGCTCTAACAAAAAATGAGGTACATTAACAAAGTATCTGACATACACAACACATAAACAACATTTTTTCTCAGGAATGCTAAAAGCATACACTGAACTCTATTTTTATGAATTATTGTCACTGTAGCTACTATAGAGCACAGACAAGTGATGAAACACAATATATCCAAGAAGTAATAGTTCCAAAGGAAGATGCACATTTTCTTTGACAGAAACAAAAGATAACTGTCTCACTTAATGTTTGTTCCAGTATCTAACAGTTCTTAATAAAAGGATGGACATATATAGATAAAAAAGGGATATTCCATAAGGCAAGAACAAATGTAGGTATTTCTAAACCTTCATTGTGGGAATCTTTTTTGGAACGTAAAATAGTGGAAAAAGTTCAGAGTTTAAGCAGCATACTCTCCATTCTTATGCATTATTAACTGTTTTTAAAAAAGTAGCATGTCCATGTCAACATCTATTAGAACAATTGAAGCACGTTAATCTGTTTAAGGACTGTCATATCATGAAGCCTACCCAAAGCAACTGATTGTTTAGAAGAGATAATTCGCAATTTTTAGTGGGCTGTTTACAAGTTCCACTAATCATCTTAGATGAGAATCATGCCTGATGATTACATCCCCCAACAATGGTTATTTTGTCCACGTTTCAATATTCATTTGCTTTTTATTATTTCTAATAGAAATTAATTGGAATAAATGTGTGTCAAACAGTTTAGAAGTCAATAACCTGATTTTTGCCAAACAATTAATTTCAGTTTCACAGAAATGTCTCTCCATATTTTTCACCTGGTTTTGCCCCGTGGTCTCATTTTGCAATGTATGAAAGTCATTATCTGCCTATAAACCCTGGTTGTAAAAGGCTAGAGTACAGCAAAAAGAATTTATTCAAATTTTAGGGAAAAAAAAAAAAAAAAGTCATAAACATGATAGTTGTTAAGATGTAAATGGTTTATAACTCACCAATTAACAGCTACATTCCACTGAATATGTTGAGCACATTGTGTGTGGTATGAAGATACGGTGATTTGAAAAGTAGTTACAACGCTTACAGAAAATACATTTTCAGTTAACCACATGGCCCATAGGACTTAGTCTAGTATTAGATATAGGACTCCTAAGTCCTTATCAGCAGGGCTGCTAGCAAGGATTACTTCTCCCAGTCTGTATACATATTTGGGATTACCCCAATCTAAGTGCAACACCTTGCACTTTGCTCTGTTGAACCTCATTAGGTTCACAAGAGCCCACCTTTCTAGTTTATTAAGGTCCCTGCGGGTGGCATCCCTTCCTTCTGCTGTACTAACTGTATTGCTCAGCTTGGTGTCATGAGCAAACTTGCTGTGCATGCACTCAATCCTGTCATCTAAGTCACTGATAAAGATGGTAAAGAGTATCAGTCCCAAAATGGACTTCAGAGGGACACCACTTGTTACCTGTACGCAGAGCCACTGACCCCAACACTCTGGCTGCAACTTTCCAGCTAATTCCTTATCCACCAAATAGTCCACCCTTCAAATCCGTGTATCTCCAATTGAGAGATAAGGACATGGTGAGGGACTATATAAAAGGCCTTCTAGAAGTTCAGGTAGATGACATCACTTACCTTCCCTTTGTCCACTGATGCCATCTTTCCATATAGAAGACCATCAGATTGGTCAGGCATGACCTTTCCTTGGTGAAGCCATGCTGGCTGTCTCAGATCACTCACTTGTCCCTCATGTGTCTTAACATGTCTTCCAGGAGGTTCTGTTCCATGATCTTCCCAGGCACTGAGGTGAGAATCACTGACGTATAGTTTCCCAGGTCCTCCGTCCTCCATTTCTGGTAAGTATGAGTGATGTCTTCCTTTTTCCAGTCCCCAGGAACTTTGCCCGATAGTCATGATTTTTCAAATATGATGCATCTTGGCCACCACATCAGAAAGCTCCCTTAGACCCTGGGATGCGTATCACCTGGCCTTGTGGACTTGTACATATTCTGCCTCGTGAGGCAGTCTCAGACTTGTTCTGCCCTTACAGTGAAGGGAAGTTTGCTTCCCCCGTTCCCATCTGAGGTTCAGATCCAGGGATGCAAGGTTCATGGATGTGAGAATCCTGGCTGCCAGTGAAGTCTGAGGCAAAGAACTCATTGAGTACCGCAGACTTCTGCTGCAGCCAGTTATCCTTTCCCATTTAGCAAAGGAGTTACATTCTCTGGCCTGTCTCTTCTGATTTTTGTACCTATGGGAAACCCATCTTGTTTTTTTTAACATCCCTCACCAAGCACACAAGTTCTGTGCCTTGGCATTTCTAATCCCGTCTCTGCAAGTCCAGACATCATCGCTGCATTCTTCCCAGGTGATACACCCTTGCTTCCACTGTCTGTCCTTGCCCTTCTTTTCCTTCATTTTGACCAAAAGGCCTTGCCAAACCATACCTGTTTCCTGCCTTCCCTGCCTGCTTTCTTAATCTGAGAGATGGAAAGCTCTTGCACTCTCAGAAAAGCGTCCTTAAAGGGAGCCAGCTTTGTTCCACTCCTTTGTCTCTAAGGACATCTTCACAGAAGATTTCATTCAACAATTCCTTAAACAACATAAGATTTGCCCTTACTGCATTTATAATGATATGAGTAACACCAGTGGTGAAGCATGCACAGACTATTGCTAAGGAATGTGCTGGACAGGGATTATAGTTCTGCTCATCCATTTCCTTCTTCCAGCAGTCATCTCACTAAAAGTTACTGCAGCAGCTGGCAGAAACATTTAGTCACATGATGGTGTTCTCAAAATATTTAGCTGGGTCTTCAAACCTGATCATTCAAATGCAGTAATTATTTGAGTATGATAAATGTAGATGTACTTTTTTTTTTTTTTTTTTTTTTTTCCCTCAAAGAATCTTAACATTTTTCTAAGGACTAATACAGAACCAGTTTCCAGTTTGCATCTCCCATATTCAGACTCTTGTCCAGCCATGAACAATGCAGATAATTGATGCATCTTGAGGTGAAGAGCTTTTCTGTCATTGTCACTTTGATTGAACAAACAAGATTCCTAAGTGCAGTATAAGAAAGGACTCTCAGCTTTCAAAGAAAAGTGGAAAGAGGATGTGAGAATGGTGTGACAGAAAAGTTTTTTTCCTTTAAAAAAAAAATCAGTGCATTTTTTTTCCTTTTATACTATAGCAATTTTCTTCATTTTCATCATCAACAAGAAGCAGCTTTTTCTAATGAAGAGATGAAAACCATTACCAACTTTAAGAATTGATTAACAGGAGATATTCAGGTGGAAAGTTAGGGAAGGATATGAATGAGTTTCAGGAGGAAAATTTAATCACTGCTTCAGAAGATACACCTGTGCAATTAAATGAACCAGTAGCTAATCCCTCCTAGCTGGTAGATGTCCCTTACAAAACACTCTGAAAGAAGCATTTCTTTCCTTTCCTGTATGCTGTGATTAGATGAAACATTGCTGAAGTCACAGCTATATAGCAATATTGATTAATTTGAAATTTGTTGTTATACTGATATCACTTAAAAAATATGCCTCAGATCTGAGAGTAGGAAGGTAGGAAAGGAAATGTGGAAGATACAAAGGATTTGTGCAGGAATTGATCTGGTTAGATACTTTTAGAGAGGCAGCAAACAAGTTGAGTGAGAAGAGCTGCTAACAAAAATGTTGAAGATGAGAGGGAAGAAAGACCTGAATATATAATGAAAACAACAGAATAAAACAGAAAATACAGCAGAGAAACAAAATCATCACAGGCATATTTTTTCCAATAGAATAGAAGGCAGTCATATTTCAGTCCTAAAAAAAGTGGAATTAATATTTCTATCAGTCCTTTGAATTCAACTTATTTATAAATAAACTTGGACTACGTGGTTTCCCTAGTTGCATTAGCTTTTCATCATTCAAGCCTATATATAGTGAAAATACTTAAGTTCATAATGAATGCATTCAAGGAGAGCCAGCCACCAAGTTGCAACACTAAGAAATTTGGAGAAAATACTTCAGAGCTTTCCATACAGTTGAGTTTGTCTAATGAGAAAATAATTTGAGAAACTATTGTCATGAATTTAAGCTAACCTACTGTTAGGAGTCCTTTAAAAACAGGTTACAGAAACCACTGTGCATTGCTGCCTGTTCAACCACATTGTTCTCATCTTTTCCTCTGTGTCCTTGTATCAGCAAGATTAAATAACACTGACAGTTAAAAAGCCTTGGTTTAACTTGCATAGATATATCTGGAGATCCATGCCAGATTTGAGTTCATTTAAGATGCTGCTTGACAACCTGATCCTTTGAACTCAATCTGTACTTGGTCTTGCACCTCCACGTTGCCATGGCTCCCAGATAAAATAATGTAGCTATTTTACCCTAAAGACACACTAACAGCTACATATTCCAAAGAGGTCTCCTCTTAAATGTACCTTCTGGTATACTAATGCAGTTACTCCTTTCATGCACAAGCATGTACATCATTAAGTTTCCTTTATAAGCCTTCAGAATATCCTTTGGAAAAAAAAAAAAAAAAAAAAGAAAGAAAAAAAAAGGAAAAAATATAACTTGAATCTTTAAAACTCCATTAAAATTATTGTTATGATCTCTACCCTATTAACCTTTATGATCTCATTTTCCACTGTTGCTGTTAAATTGCTTCCTTTAAGTTGCCAGAACAGGTAACATTGGCAATATGTTCTTTGTTTTACCTGCAGTATCCATGGGTAAAAGTGATTCTAACAAGTCTTCGACAGTAATTATGATCACCTAAGAAAATGCTACACTCATCCTTCTGTAAGATGCAGGAGTGGTAAAGTGCTTATCACTGTCATACAGAATGAAACGCTCTTTGGAATATCATAAAAACGATGACAGAAATAAATATACATATCATATACTAGGAATCTAGGTGCATAAATGGATTTTTATTGTAAGCAGTTTTTCTTCAAAGGAAAAGAATTTAAAATGTATCAGAAAATGATTTCTTTATGAAAGATTTGAGATGCAGGAGGTATTTGAAAGCTTTGCAATGTCATGTGGTTAAGAGAAAGTCATGATTACTACTTATAGAGTAAGCATTTAAAATTATTTTGAAAATGTTTACCACACTAGTTTAAATTCAAACTGTGATATGTGGCCATGGTGGCAAGCATTTCTCAGCAAGCATCAAGTTTTCAAAGAACTATCTATAGTGAAGCAAAGTGTTCATACGAATGTGGGCAGTTTATGACTAAGGTACAAGGGAGTCAAGCTGACTTGGTGAATTTTGTTTTCACTATGAAACCTTTTGTTGTATAATTACAGGGGAGAAAAAAATTCAATCAGTCATGTTGGATTTGTTCTTAATTTCAAATTAAACTTGTTGTTTGTTTCTTTTTTTTCTTGGACTATTCTTCTACCTTTTTCTTTCTTTTCTCCTCTTACCCCTCTTTTTTTTTTTTTTTTTTTTTTTTTTTTTTTTTTTTTTTTTTTTTTTTTGAGGGAGAGAGAGAGAGAGAGAGAGAAGGGGTGAGAAAAAATTATTTCCCTTTTTGACATAAATATGAGTATGTTCTAATGAAAGTATTTTTTCCCCCACTTCTTCCACTAATAAAAATGCAACAACAATTTTTCTGGCTAGTAACTCACTGTTGCCTTTCCTCTGTTTTTTGAGAGAAGCTGTTATGTTTTATGTCCTGAAGGCATTAATGTAAGTAAAGAGGAAAGAGTTATGTCAGGTGCCTACAATCAGGAGTACAAATCGATGTATCAGTTTATAAGTAAAAGGAGATCATTTTCCAGATACTAAAGTACTCCCAGCTATCGGTGACTTAACTCTGAGAGCTAGATACCATATGTTTTGCTATCAGATGATACATTTTGTTGTAATGCAATATTGCTTAAAAAGACATTTCTTATCCAGTTTAGGTTTTTATTCTCCAAGAAATACAAAGCTTTATCTCTGTTCTAGTATAACAGGCATTTTGGTTGTTTTTATTACTGCTTATGAGTGTTACCTGCCCTCTACACCTTACTTTTAGAATCATACTGTGAATCCTACGCTCCTTTAAGGTCTTTCAAGAAAACATTAATTTAGTGTTCAAGATGCATTATCGTTTCTTTTAAAGTTTCAGTAAGGCACTCTATCTCTGTAACACAGTTAGGTCCAATTCAGTTCAGTGTTAGATAACAGATTCTTGAAAAAGATTACAGAAACAGAGCAAAACCATAGAGCTAAGAAATTAATCTCTATCATATGAAATATTTTTACCACATATGTATCTTCGAATTTATAGATGGGGTCAGTGGCCTCTCACATAAAAGATACAAGATAGCAAACAGCTGTATACTTCTTCCTGGAGGATTCATCAGATACAATACTGATTACTGATGACGAGAAAGAAGAGAATGTGGGGTGAGGTTTTTTTTTCCTCTGTAGGAAACCATAATCTTTTGTTTAGAATACTGAAACAGACCAATTTCCTAATTGAATTGTAACTATTCTGCATTATTATGATATATAATAAACTTCTAAAATCCAATTTTTATCAGTCTGTGTGATTTCTTAGCATGCATTTCCTTCTCATTTTCATTTTTTGGCTGTTAACATTACTTAAAACAGTATATTATGTGTAATCTACTGCTCACGTCAATACTGATATATTTAGCATTAGTCTTCCACATTGTGATGCAAGAACTCATTTGCCATCAGTCAAGACATCATGACATATCATTTATACTTTTCCAGTAATTTAGATGTGATGAACAGATTATTTTTCTTATAAAGCTGCAGTAGATACTCTGGAACTGTCACCCCCAGTGCAAGGGTTTCCCAAAATGAGAGATCCTTTTTCAACCCATAAATATATGTTTAAAACAACAACCAAAACCAAAAACAAAAAAACACCACCAACAATAAATATCTCTAGGTTTAGCACTTTCACATGAGGTGTTTTGCTGTCCTCCTGCCATTCCTATACCAGAACTTGCAGCTCCAGGGATTTCCAACTCGACTTCCTTCTCAAATTTTTGTCTTTATATGTATCCTCCCTCATCAGTTCCAAGTGAGACCACGCGTGAAAGTCCCATTTGAAGAAGAAAAGAGGAATGGGGCTTTAAAAGTGCTGGCATTTTTTATGTTTTGTCTACCAAATGCTTTTAAAAAAGTATCAGTTTATGCTTCTCTCTTGCCTGTTTCTATCTGTGAACTTCTCATTGGAATAGATCTTTCATTAGTTATGTATTGCCTCCAGACTTGAGGGAAGCCAAAATTCTCCCTGGCTTGCCATAAAAGTTCTGGAGATTGGAGTTTTCTCAACACAAAGAACAAATCAACAGAATAAAGCCAAATGACATTGTTTCTTGGAATCATATTCCAAGAGTTGGTGAATCTTGTCTTGTTATACCAAACAGACCTAGTATATCTTCTAGGCCATATTTGTGTTGTCTTACAGAATTTTGATCTTATGTTTAAAGTAAGACTGACCAAGTTACCCAAAGAATGAAAGAAATCAGAAAATAAGGGCACAGAAGGTAGGAAGTAAAATAGGCAGGAGAATTCTTACAAAATCATAAGGACTTTAAAATGCCAGCTGTTTTTCATCAAAGCAACAGAATAAATTCAGATAGCAAGAGAGGCAATTCCAGGCTTGTTCCTACACTGGAGCCCCACATAAAAACTAGAAGCTGTACTTAACAGCTCTTTCTTCAGAAGGACACTGTAGAATGAGATTTCTGAGAAAGAGAATTTTAATTACTAATTATTTCTTAGTTCAGTGAGATACACGTTACCCATTTGCATGGGAGTGACTGCATTGTGAGGAAAGCACAGTCATAATTGCACTGGTGGTAATCTTAACTTGTGGGGAAAGTGAAAATGAATTTTCTGATAAACGATACCAGAGAGAGAATAATAATTTTCTACATGTCTAGGGGGAGACCGCTACCTTTAAAAGCAAATTAAAATGTAAATTTTATCTCAATGGGAGCAATCTGAAAGAGCTGGAGCTGTTCAGCCTGGAGAAGAGAAGGCTCTGAGGTAACCTGATAGTGGCCTTTCAATATCTAAAGGGGAGCTACAGGAAAGAGCAGGATAGACCCTTTAGCAGAGTCTGTGGTAATAGAGCAAGGGGAAATGGCTTCAAGCTCAAAAAGGGTGGATATAGTTGGATATAAAGAAAAAGTCTTTTACTGTGAGGATGATAAGGCACTGGAACAGTTTTCACATAGATATGATTGATGCCCTGTCGCTGGAGACTTTCAAGACAAGGCTGGATAAGGCCCTGGGCAGCCTGATCTAGCTGTGGATGTGGTCCCCATTCATTGCAGGGGAGCTGGACTAGGTGACCTTTAAAGGTCCCTACCAACTCTAAGGATTCCGTGATTCTAGTGTACCTGCATAACAAACTGAGGATGAAACAAGAAAGGGGATTTGAAAATACAGAATACTAAGACATCTTGTTTCAAATAAATGGATGCATGAAACTTGACATTCCATTGCATGATTTGTCTTTGCAATTGCGCAAAGTAAATAAAAATAACTACTAGGGATTTGTGTGCCCAAGTTATGCTAGTTTGCATATAAAAACTGAACAAGTTGAGAAGTGTTTAAAAATATATATCCTTGAATGGTAATCTAGAAATGGGTGAGAGATTACAGATGGGTGTGTATGCTGAAACAAACTGTCTGGATATGCTAGTGCTTTCAGTATTTTTGTCCTGAACATTAGGAGATGCCTGTGATAATTTTTAAAATGTTCATTAAATCTTTCATTTTTAATTAATCAATATTAATATTAGTCTGCATTATTATGCTATTTTGACCATGACAATGCAATGGTAAATACAATATAATCTTTACAAGACCAAAAAAAATTGTGCTCCAGAATCTTCTAGCCTTTTGAAAACAGATATAGTCAAAGTTTTTTTCTTCGTAGCATTCAAAGAAAGTTAAAATGGAGTTGCTTTATTTGATGCAAATAATTAATACAAAACTGTATTTATCCTGGATCTATTTCATTAATTTAGAGTTACTTTTTATGTAACACATGGTTACATTTAGAATAGGTAGTTAGAAGAGAATTCACTTCTATAATCTGTTTTTATTTTGGTAGCTTTATAGAATACAATCAGTTATACAGCTCAAGAAAGAATTGCTGTACCAAGGCAACCATATATCACTGGTTTTTCCTATTTGGCATTTCATTCTGTTTAAATACTCTGGAGTGATTAAGGCATTAAAAAGTTAGTTAATTTCAAATTAATCTTTATTTCATCAGTTACTGCCCATGGAACTTTAGCATCTGAACACCTATGTAGATTAGACGCTCAACGTATTTAATATCTGTGCTCAGCCACACAGCTTAGCACCTGTAAAATGATCATGGAATAAACTTGATCAACTAACTGCAAAGGAGTAATAATTTTCCTCTGGAAGCTGCCTAACTTAATTAAGCAGAAAACTTCATTAGGTTATAAAGAAACTTTTTTTTCATTGTATATGATTTAATGATACTACCTGCAGATATGCATAAATTCTTACACATATATGCTCACAATTATTATTCTTAGATATATATCTTGTGTGGCCTGTCATGTTTGGCATATCACTATAATTGATGCAATTGTCTTAACTGGATACTTTACAAATGTTGTCATGGCAAGTACAAATGTAAACCAATTCTCATTTTACAGTTTCATGATTCATGTTATCCATTCTCACTAATTTTTCTCAGTATAATATTCATTTAGTGTATATATTCATTCATCCTAAAGTTCAGTTTGCTTTAATAGCTATCAGCTGAAATGATGCATCCCCTTTACTCTAGGACCTTTGGCTCCTGGGTTAGAACAAACAATTCAAGCTGATTGTAGTTCCAGTATTCTTTGGGAAAATAGTGAAATTGCAGTCAGGTACCTCTGAACTGCATATAAATTCTTTGTCTTCTCTGAGATACCAATACTGCAAAATTTTCTTTACCACTAAATAAAATCTCTATTTTTTTTGTTTTGTTTTGTTTTGTTTCTTACACATGTAACTATAATAGTTCAATTCTTGATAGGAAATAACTGCAGTTCATTTTTCTCTGTTTTGCCATGGCCTGATCTCTATAACTGTTTGTACCTACATTTATCATAATAGTTCTTTTGTATATGTTGCAATTTATGTAACAAACTGATGTATAAAACTTTCACACTTCAAGTTCCATACATGGTCAATTTATACCTATTCATGAGCATTTCTTATCCCAGGATTCATTTATATATTTCACTTTACGATTTGAAGATGTTTATTCCAAATTTTCCCTTCAGATTTCTCTTTTACTTTTCATTGGTCATGGACTTGGAAGAACTACAGCACACAGTGAATAACAACAGCTGCAATGGCAACAGCAGCAGCAACAGTGATGTGATTTTACCAGCCATGCCTGTAATAATATATAAGATTGACACAGATGTGCTACTTACAAAGCGCCAGCTGTTGGCACTTATTTTCCTATTGACTATAAGCAAACAACAACAAAAATCCTACAACAACAAATTATTTCTCTGACACAACACTTACTTCACAGACATTTCAACAAACATAAGGAGATATTTTGTTACTGAATATATTTTATCCTGGGATTCTTTCAATTTGTATTCATTTTAAAATTTACTCTGTTAATTAGAAAAGGTTATAAGATTAATAAGCAGTCGTTGTTAATGTATGCAATGGACGGTAAGCTTCAGTTGATGATGTTCTTTTTTTTCCAAAGAGGCATTAGAGATTAGTTCATACAAATCATAGTGAGCAATATATCCTATCTTTCAAAACTGTTCTTTATCTCTATGTTGTCTTATAATCTCTGAATCATTTCTAAAATCCCTGACAGAAAAAGCCAACAAAATTCTAGCAAAACCTACCCTACCAACCTAAAATGATATAATGCAATTTCAAACAGTCATATAGAAGAATTGATATTCAAGAAATCCATTGTAGCTGTAAGAAGAGAGAGCTTTGAAACACAGAATACTTCAGCATTTGGAAAAGTGCTTTGTTAAGAATATGTACATGACATCTGCAGGCAGTCTATTTTTCTGTTCTCTAGGATGTTAGGCTGAACCTTGACATGTGCTCCAAACCCAGCCTGCAGCGTTTCTGAGATTCATCATTGTGATCTGGAAGGGCAAGGTCCACTCTGCAGCTGTGCAAGATCACTGTGCTCAAATTCTGACTGATGGGAAAGGCAGTCAGACTGTGTTCTCTTCTTTGTTCTCACCCAGAGCAGAGGTTTGCTGCACTGAGGTGTCATGATGGCCTCTAGATCTGTGGCTAGTGAAGAACTTCCTGATTTGGACGGATTTCCTGACTAGATCACTCAGATATGCTAAGAGGTTACTAAAATCAAGCACTTCTTTATGAGGGAAGGTGAAGCATCCATTACAATCTATATCCTGAATTATTTTTATACTGAAAATAGTCATATTGTCACTAGTCATATTGAACTAATCATCTTCCCTCTGCACTGAACTTCTTTCTGACCTTTCTCCTACAAAAACT